GGGACCAGTGTCCTACCGTTCTCCCACCATCCACCCACTGCTTCCGAGGAGTCCCCACAGGGCCGTGGCCCCTTCTGAAAATGTCAGTGAACATCCAAGTTCACCTGTCGCCCCTTCTCTTGGGTCAATGTGCAAGAGTGAAATGGCTGGGCTGTGTGGTGATGTTTTATGTTACACACTTACTGATTCCCAGGAAAAATGTTCGCTGGATGCGGATGCGCCACGTCTTCACCAAGACTCGGTGTTGGTCTTTCTGACGTTAGCCGTGCTGGGGGCCTCCGTGTGGTTGGCTTGCGTGTCCCTAATTACTAGTAACATGTCTTCCGCTGCCCATGTCTCATCTTTGATTAAGCATCTTAATGTCATTGCCGTTATTTAAAAGTGGGTTGTTTATCTTATTACTGAGGTGTGATTTATCTTATTACTGAGGTATGATTTTTACATATTCTGTTTTTGCCAATATTTTCAGTTAGTTTGGGGCCAGCCTTTTTCTTTTCTTCTAGGAGTGTCTAATTACGAGCCAGGTTAGGAGGCATGTGCTTGCAGTCCCATCTACTTGAGAGGCTGATGTGAGGCAATCAGGTGAGCCCAGGAGTTTAAGGCCAGCCTGGGCAACATAGTGAGACCCTTTTTTTGGGGGGAGGGGTGATGAAGTCAATTTGACATTTAGCCAATTTATGCTTCTTTTTATGGTCACTGCTTTTCATTTTGTATCTGATAAATCTTTGGGTAACCCAAGATTACCAAGATTTCCTACTGTGGTTTCTTTCAGAAGTCTGTTTAGCTCTAACATTTATATCCACTGGTAAACTTTTATACATGGTGTGAGGTAGGCAGTGGGGTTCATTCTTCCATGAGGGTGTCCACTTGTCCCCGCACCAGTCCCTGAGAAGTCCAGGCAACTTTTTCACCCACAGGGTAACCTCACTGAACTCGCTTCTGTGGATCCCACAAGCTTCCAAAATAGAAAGTTCTGAAAAACGTGGGTGCAGCCAAGACAGTTAAATGGGGAAGGACAGTCTCAGCAATCTGTGCTGATCAAGAACAATGTGATCACAGGCAGAAGAACACAGCTGGGCTCCCACTTCACACAGAAATCAAAAGTCAACTCAAAATTGGGTCAAAGACTTAATAAGAGCCAAAAATAAAATTCTTAACCGGATTTAGTCTTCATGACCGTAGATTAGGCAATAGTGTCTTAGCTGTGACACCAAAAGCACGCACAAAAATATTAAATGAAATAAAACAAATTGGACTCCTTCAAAATTAAAAACTTTGTGCTTCAAATGATACCATTAAGATCATAAAAAATACACAGAAAGGAGAACATTCTTCAATACCATACATTTGCCAGGTAACTTACGCTGCTAATGGAATTATAAAAATAGCACAGCCACAGTGGGAAACAGCTTGGGATTCCACCCCTAGATGTGTAACCAAGAGAAAAGAAACCTTATGTTCCCATGATGATTGTAGCATTATTATTCCCAGTGGCCAAAAACTAAAAACAACCCATGTCTGTTAGTTGATAAGCCGATAAACAAAATGTGGCCAGTACCTGTCCAGTGCAGTGCTATTTGGCAATATGAAGGAATGATGTAATCCCTGCTAGTGCGTGGAGGGGCCCTGAAAAGACACTAAGCCCTGGTCACAAAACCCGCACACTGTGCAACTGCACTTGTACGAAATATCTAGAATAGGGAAACCAAGAGAAGGGAAGGACACTGGTGCTGCTGGTATATCACTAAAACCCACTGTGGTGTGTACTTTAAATGAGTGCACTGTAGGATGACCATGTGCGCGGTACTGGGACCTAAACCCAGGGGTCCTCTGCTATTGAGCTCCACCCCCAGCCCTTTTTAAAATTTCATTTTGAGATAGGGTCTCACTAAATTGCTGAGGCTGTCCTCGAACCTGCAATAATAGTGCTTCTTTAGCCTCGTGTGCCAACACACACAGCTTTGACAAGCATTATATCTCAATTTTTAAAAATTCTATTCTTTCAATCAGTCAGACATAATCTTTGGGAAAACAGTAAAGTCTACGTGAGTGGACACCTGTGGACACAAGAAGTGTGCACACGTTTCAAGAGTTTCATTTGGGTGGAAGGCGGTGTGCTCGTTCTTCGCCTTGCACTAGTTAGGGGTGAGACGCCACCAGGGGCAGCTTTTTGCAGAGCGCCATTAAAAAGGGTCCTCACTCTGGACTCGCAGCCCGCAGCCCAGCAGCGGCTGCAGCAGCACAGTGGGCCTCAGGTGTGGAATGGGCGGATATCCAATTGCCACATTGCCACTGCCACCATTTTTCTATCATGAATACCAGGAGAGGCCTCCAATGCAAACTGCCCCATATGGCGAGCAGCTGGATAAACACCCATCTGGATTGCGGCCTGAGCACGTTCCTCAGGTGGAGTTTTCCTGAGGGAGACTGGGGCCCCAGAAGGAAAGGCCAGCCAGGAAGGCCCCCTCCCAACAGCCCCCTCCACAGCACAGCCTTCCCCAGGCACCTGTGGATGCGCACAGCCTCCTGCGGGGCTCCTCCAGGCACCACAGCCTTGAGGTGTGCAGATCACTGCAGCTCTCTGCAAAGAGCCCTGGGTCCAAGGCTGAGTCCTTGGAGAGCTGGCCAGGTGCTTCCCTTCCCTGGCGGCTATTTGATGTCTCAGAGGTGCTTTCCAGATCAATTATAGGTTTCCAGTTAATCTTGTGTGTACTTTTCTTTGGTGCTAGGGATTTAACCCAGGGGACCTTAACCACTGAGCCACATCCCCGCTCCTTTTTTTTTAAATTTTGAGACTGAGTCTTGCTAAGTTGCTGAGGCTGGCTTTGAACTTGCGATCCTCCTGCCTCAGCTTCTCAAGCCACTGGTCACAGGCATGCACCACGTGCCTGGCTTGGGTGTATTTTCATGTAAAGTATTCTATATATATTGAACATATCTCCACCTTATCAATAGCTGTCCATCTTACCTCCTTCTTGACCATTTGACCATCTTTGACCAATGTCAGATATAGTAGTATCTGAAACTCTCCATCACTGTTAATCTTGGCTGATCCTAAGCCAGTGACCTCAAACCCATCTTGTGTTTAGTGAGATCATTTCTCCCTCAAAGTCACCTGTGCATCTGCTCAGGTGAGCTGGCCTTCAGAGCACTGCAGTGACTGTCATGAGGCTGCCATTCTTGGGGTTGGCTCTCTGGCCCTTCTGTCAGCCTTTAATTCCTTCCTTCTGATTCCAGCTGTGCTCTGCAGTTGAGGTGACCAGACAAGGGAGTGAAGCTGGACAGGAGTAGATGAATAAATTACACAGAAGGACGCTTTCCACACAATCCTGAGTTCCCCAGGACATGCTGACGCCTGGCCTTCCCGGATTCAGCAGTTCTACTTTTGTCTTTATTGGAAAAACTAAAAGGAGTATATTTAGTGAAAACACCTAAACTCTTTTTGCTCCCAAAGAAGAAAAGCCTGGGGAGGCAAAGATTTGCTCCCTCTGGCTTGGAGGCTGCGCCGTGGCCCCATGCTGGAGCCAGCCCAAGCCCCTGTCGTCCCCGGAGTCCCACGTGCTGCTGCCAAGCACAGCCTGGAAGCTGAACTGCCACGTCCACACACTCTCCTTTATGTTCCTCAAACAGTTGTTATTAATTTAGAAGAGCTTGAGGTTTAAAAATCAACCAGCACTTTCCGCTTAAGTCACTTAGGTATACATTTTCTCCTAACAACTGTTCTGCTGAAATCAGTCATTATCTGTAAGCGGACCCCAGGCCCACCCACTTTAGGGTCTGGATGCATTCTTGCTTTCTGGCGGCTTAATGCACAGGGTGCTGGCAGCAGTTCTTACAGGGAGCTGGTTCCTTTAAAAGTTGTGACGCATCTTTGTCCCCACACAACCTCACTTGAGGGAGCTAAGCTGTTCAGTCCAGCAAGTATCTGCCTCCCAGGAAGCTGTGCCAGCCGGGTCCCAGCCTGTCCCCTTTTCTCGTGGGACCGACTGGCAGACTACGCTTCTCAGGTGCGCCTCACTGTCCTTCACGAGGCTTGTGGAGGCCACTGTGGCTTTGGTGTTGGCCAGGGTGGGGCCTGCATCAGACTTAAGCCATCCCCAGGTGGCAGGACACACAGACAAGAGAACCTTGAAATCTCATGATGAACCAACCTAGAGTCGTTGGCATAAGACCTCGAACCCTACAACATGACTCGTAAGAGCAGATGGAAGTCTGTGGGAACTGAGCAGATGGGTTCTTGCTTCCCGGCTGTGAAGATGCCTGTAAAGCAAGCTCAACTGTCATGACACAGACATGGCGGTTCTGGTAGACAGGAGACTCCCAGGTCCTGCTATGAATAATGTGTCCAGAGGCGTCGCAGCATGTGGGGGAGCCCTACCTACCCTGGAGTGGCGAGCCTAGACATGGGGAAAGTGCACCCTGTCCCCTGCAGTGGCTGCAGAGTGGGGTACAGCTCATCATGGAGACTTCCCCTTGGTGCAGTGGGCGTCAGGGGGATCCCAGGGGCTGTTGGGGGGAGCTGGGAGGATGTACAGTCCAGGAGCATCTGCTGTGGCGGTGTGGCAGTCACCACCCTCAGAGGATCAGAGTGAAAGGCTTGGTGGCAGATGCCAGAGCTCTGAGAACAGTCTTCACAGCTCAGGGCCAGGTTAGCAGACCTGAGCAAGGGGGCCTGCAACCTGGGGGGCCTGCGACCAGGGTCGAGTGGGCGGCAGGCGGTAAAATCAGAGTTGTACAGTGGTCATATGAGATGAGGAAACAGGGGAGGTGACAGGTCACGGGAATGTGGAGGCTGCCTGGCATTGGAGAGACCTCGAAAGGGATAGGCCTGTGTGACAACAGGTGAGGCAGGATGAAGGAGTGGGGCCGTGCACTCGGCCCTGGCACAGGGCTCTCAACTCCAAGTGGGGTTCTCCCCGACTCCCAACCAGTCCCCAGAATCCCAGCCCAGGGCCTCTTCCTCCTTCCTCACGGATCTGTGTAACCACTTCTCCCACCAGGAGAAGTACCCCGACACTGTGCACCTCCCGGAGGGGTCCTGCTCCAGCTGCATGGAGATCCGCAGCGCCAGGAGGCCAGGGTGAGTGGGGGCCGCTGCGGCCTCGAGTCCCTGTGAAACAGGGATTCTCAATAGAAGGGAAACTATCCCCTGAGGACCAGAGACCGTGGGGTGGAGGAGAAGTGGGCAGGCCTTCCTGCACCCTGTGAACATACCACCACAGGAAATGCAGACAAGTGCCTGCTGGCCTGGGCCTCAGTTCCACTGAGGGGTTTTAAGGAGCAAATGTAGGGGGCGCTGGGAGGAGGAGGAGGTGAGGTGTGTGTGGAACCACTGCATAAATGGAAGGACGAAGGCTGGGGTGAGGAAGCCCCTGAGGCCAAGTCAGAGAAACTGCTTCAGGGCTCCCCACACGGCCACCTCCCTTCACTAGCCACACTCTGCCCAGAGCCACTGCCCTACCCGTGTTCCTCAGCCTCCTGCCTCTGCCCCTGTGCATCTCCCTGTGCGCGCCTCTTCAAGCCTTCAAACAGGTGGTCTTCTGCAGGTGTCCTTCTGCCTCTGACCCATGACCACAGTGCGTTCATTTTTACTCCTCACCCTCCGGTAGGTCAGTCCACCAAAATGCCTGGCTGCCTCAGCTCTCGAGCGTTTAGGGTCTTGGTCCCTGTCCGTTTCTCCCAGCCCACACCACATAGGCTTCTCTTGGGCTCAGACATTGAGGCACGAAATTCTCCAGCCATGGAGTAGAGGCACACACGGCTTTGTCAGTGCCAGAGTATTTCCAAGGAAGATGACCCTCGGCACCGGCACCGGCCATGTGCAGGTTCCTGTCGCTCTGCGTCCTATCCACATCCAATTCTTGCAGTGTGGTCCTGGTTCCCCTTGACCACCTTTTTCCCTCCTCTGGGGTGGATGTCTTTAGGAGCAAGGAAGCCAGAATAGAGAAAAGGAACTGAAAACCAGATTTCAAAAGCACTGGCCAATGTGTTTTACCTCTTTCAGGTTTGAATTGGTGATTGTTTGGAGAATACAGATAGATGAAGAAGGGAAGGTTTCACCAAAGCTGGACCTGCTCACCAAAGTCCCTCAGCGAGGTAGGGCTCTGGGTACGGATGTCCTTTCTAGGGGACTTCTCAGTCAAAGCTAGGTGTTGTTCATCTGGCTTAGTGTACTTTGTGCATTGAGTAATTACTAAGAAGAACATTTAAAAACCAAAAAGCGCAAGAGTGATCGCTCCCTCACAGCCCTGCTGGCCGAAGGCAGGAGAGAATGTTCTCTGCCTCAAGCCATGGGTGAGATCACATCTCTCTGCTCCGGGTCTAGTGCCTCCAGGTCCATGTGATCCTTCAGGAGGAGGAAGGGTCTTGGGGACGCCAACAGCTCAAGGTTTCTTACCTGGTTTATTTTTTTCTTTATAGCTCTGGAGCTGGACAAGAACAGAGTCCTAGAAACCGCTCCTCAGAGCTTCCGAACCCTGCTAGAAGTGCTTGGAATTGAAGCCGCTCTAGAAAGCCTGATAAAAATTACTCTGTGCAGAGAATGACTAGTTCCCACACAGGGAAGGAACAAGATGGTGCACCGAAAAGCATGCGACCTATATTGACTCTAAGTGTATTATCTACCTTCCCCTCAGAAACCACACCCTTAGCTGGATGCATTTGACACCTGCCTACCATCCCAGCTACTTGGGAGGCAGAAGGATCAAGTTTGAGGCCAGCCTCAGCAATGTAGACCCTGTCTCCAAAAAATAAACCAATGCTGGGCACGTCGCTCAGTGGTAAAACAATTGCCTGGCATGCATGAAGCCCTGGGTTAAGGCCTCATCACTGCCCAAAACAAGCTGTCTATGCAGTTATGCTACATCAGACTCTCATGGCATGAAAAATACAGCTGTTCATGTATAAAATGTCAAATAGAATTGAACATTCGAGAAGACATACCAAGAGTGGTTCTCCCTCCCTTGACGTGTGTGGACCAGCTTGGGCCCCCACCTCACCTCACAGTCTGCCCAGAGACGGAGCCACGTGTGGTCCAGCCCTGAGAAGCCATCCACCTCCTGCCACCTGGGGGCTTTTGGAGGCAGTTGTTGATGGAGCTTCATTTCTTAACATTCCTCAGAAGCCACAGCAGCCATGCCTGCGCCCTGCTGGCTGCACAGCAGCACCTCCAAGTCCTGACCCTCTTGGTCTCCCCACAGTCTGCACGGCTATTAACGTCAAAACAGTGCCAGATGACAGCCACCCAGCACTGCTCCCTTCTCACAGGACCTTCACTAGAGAACCCCAGAGGGTCTGAGTGCTACACCATAATCTCAGATGAGAACTAGAGATGGGAGCCCCTCCATCCCCCATATGTCAGGGTCAGTGAGGGTTTTCATGCCGTTGGGGCATCCTGGAATCTGAGCACAGCAGCGGGGACGTGGCAGGGCTGGAGACCAGCCTCAGTACCACCTGCCAGACGGAGGGCCGAGACCTAGGCTGGGGCGCTCCCTCCTCCCTCCTATGAGAATACAGCCTGCTTGTTTTCATTCCGCCCATCCAGCTGGATGAGGCCCCTTGCCAGGCTGTAACACTACTCCCCAGCCCACCTCCCGGAGAGCCTGGGGTTCTGGCAGAGGGATGCTACCTCCAAGAGCATGGCGTAGCCCAGGGCACAGTGCACCACATTGTGCAGAAACCTGTCCCAAGTGCCGCCCAGGCCCGTGGCAACAAACCATCCTGAATCCAAACAGTGCTAATGGCCATTTCCCACCCTCCACAGCCTCGAGCTGAGCTTTGTGGACGTGACTGGGGTGGACCTCCAAAGCCCCACCCTAGCACACATACCACGCAAGCTGAAGGAAAAGGGGCCAGTGTGTCCAAGTATAGAATAAAGTAAATGTAAGGACAGAATTCAAGAATCAATTCTAGAAGAGTTGGCTTGATTCAAACAAGTGTAATTCTCAAGTTATCACAAAATTTCCCACAAAAATTTTACAATCAGCAAAATATTTTCATTTTTCATGTAGCATTTTCATACAATTCCATGGTTTCACTAATATTATGTTACAATAAGCCTTCATTAGTCCCTCAAAATTATATAAATAATCAGTCTGTACAACCTGCCATGGGGAAGGGGAGCCAAGAGTCCCAACAATTTTATAGCAGCCGGGCACACTTCTGGTGATCCCAACAAGAACCCTCGGCACCAGCTAGGAGCCACGCATCTTCCAGAAGCAGGGCCCGTGGCAGCCCAACAGGAATGGCAAGGCTCTGGGGCCCACACCCAAAAAAGCTCCCAGGCAAACCGAGGGGAGGAGTGCAGCTTGGGAAGTCCCTCGACCACCCGACACGACGGAGTGCTACCAGAACCAGAATGCTGGGACACCGGGCGTGCCCACCCCAGCCAGCCACGGCAGCCTAGTGAGTTACAGCTGTGCTCCCAGCTTCCACAGTAGCGATTTCAGGTAGGAAAGAACACTGTATCTCCCCCTAGAGTTAAAATCATAAAGCAAAAACAAAAAGTCAATGCTCTTGTGAGTGGTGTCCATCCTGACCTGAGTCTCACACTCCCTGCTGACCCTTAAGAGCCGTGAGCTTCGGCACCTCCACAGGGACCCTGAGTCTAGACCACTCAGAACCGACGTCCACACTAACTCTGATCACTCTCTGCAGCAGGGAACCACCCAAAGCCTGTGTTGATGTGTGGCTCGAATTGAAAAAGTGACCAGTAACAACCGGGAAAGTTCCAGTGGTATCTATGTTTTCCAAAAGTCCAAACCATAAGATGCTTGTGACAATTCAAGCTTTCTACGTCAGGATTCTGGTGGTAGGAGATCCAAACCTTGGTCTTATAAGGCTTTTCGCATAGAGAATTAGACATGAGCCCTGGTTGAAGGAAGAACTACCCAGGACGTCTTCCCAGGGCTTAACGGACACTTCCGATTTAAGAATATGAGCAGCCTCCTGGGACACCCCGCTCACATCCTACATTCCTTGTCCTGGAAGATGTTTCTAGTGCTCTTTAATTTTATGTCTTCAAGAGGCAATCTCACCTCAACAGGGTTAAAAGCAAAAACATTCACAGCCAGAAGTCGTCCAACACAATAGAAAATAGCTATCATTCAACTTTCACATTCAAGTTTCAAAGACACTGCAGGGAAAAAAGTTAGACCTTATGGAGAACTAACGTGCAGTCTTCACTTTCCTTCAACCGAGTCGGCACCACAGCATCATCTTTGGCATGCACAGTCTTTGAGTAATAGTTGACTATCTTGCTGTCCAATTTATACTGATGAGGAATGCTCTCATAGGGCTTGAGGTCAAGGTCCAGCACAGACACGGAGAAGGCGAGCCTGGACCTCGATGAGGGGATGACAGGCCTCTGATCAGAACTGCAAGTAAAAAAGCAATTTCAGAATACACGGACCCTCCGAGTTCTCTTATCCCAGCTCACAAAGAGCACCCAGTCAGTGTTTGTGTGCATACTGTCTACACTAGCATGTGAGCTTCCACAAAGTAATTACCTATGGGACACAGGCCAGCACCCTGAGCCACATCAGACAAGACAGATGAAGGACTGGAAGATGGAAAAGCCATTATGTGGAACGCCTGAGTGATATTCCCCAGGCCCCAGTGGCGGGAACGAATGCTGAAAAAGTCACTTTATCACGAGCCAAGCATTACAAAACCTAAGAATTAAAAAGTAGTTCTGGCCGTTCAACAGCCAGATGGATGAAAGCCAAGAACAGACTCCTCTTTACGCACCTTTCCCACGCCTGGTGAGGAAAGCAGCCTTCTTAATGCTCCTCACAGAGACAGGCCTGGTTTCATGTTTTACTCTCAAAGCAAACCTTCAGTACTCGGTATTTTCTCTTTAGTTTTGTAGCATTTGTGAACATCAGAATAGTTATGTGCTCATAACAGTGTGAACAATTACTTGTACTTTAGAACACTTTCAGGGCTGGGCACGGTGGCACACGCCTGGGATCCCAGGGCTCAGGAGGCTAAGGCAGCAGGATTGAAGCTGAAGACCAGGCACAGCAAATCAGTGAGGCCCTCTCAAAATTGTGGATGTAGCTCAGTGACAGAGCACCCCGGGTTTAATCCTCATTACCAAAAGGAAAAATAGCACTTTGAGAACAACTGAATCTGGTCCTGAGATGGCTGTGTATCTATCTATCTGCTTTGCTCAGAAAACTCAACACATAGCATTCAAAAGAGTGGCTGAATGAATTATAAACTTCATTTCGCCCAGAAGAAGTGTACCATATTTACCGCTCTTCTCAATTTAGAAATCATTAAAAACAGAACTCCAGCTGTGAAGCCTCCCTCCTGGGAGACAGCCTGTTCTAAGGATGCTAATAAAGACCTCAGCTCTCAACCCGTTTCAGAATTCTGTTCATAGAAAAAAACGGTCACAAATCAGTTGCCAGGACTCTCTGCTGAATAGCAGAGAATAGCAAATAACTTGTGTACAAGATCTTGGGTCTCCCTCTGGAAGCTGGAAAGGGACAACTCACCCTGATCAGCCTGCTACAGAGAGCCCCGAAGCCCATGGTCAGCCCAGGACAAGGCCTATGCCTTTTCAAGAACACCTCAATTTCTCAGGTTATAAGCAGCATCCAATAAGACACATAAGACGACAGGAAGGGAATTCTAAGCAGTTCCTTCTGACAACCTGGTTGACCACACGCTCCTTATGAGCCAGGGAAGCAGGTACTAGCCCCTGCCACCAAAACATCTGCCTGCCCCCAGGGTCGGTCCTTGAAGCTAAAACCGGGCAAGAATCTCCCAAGGCACATATGTCCCTCTGCCATGGCCTCAGATACTGGGGCTGGGATAACCAGGCTGCAGGGAGCTGCTGCCCTCGCCTGGACAGTTGGTCTCCAGGGCCCAAAGCAGTAGGCAAGGTAGCAAGAAGGACGGGCAGAGTAGCCCAAGGCTGAAGCTGCTGCCCGTGCTGTTTGGAACAGGAAATGGAGTAGAGGACCAGAACTTGAGACATAGGAGGCTGTGAGCAGCTCGCCCTGTGATTCCAAAATCACAAAATGCCTGCACAAACAAGGCAGTAGACATAAGACCTTCTTGTTTATGATGGGGCCGAAACAGAAGTAGAGAAGCCTTTATTTTAGGGGTGTGGTAAGTTTAAATGTAGTCAACCTGTCTGTGAGCTATACATTAAAATTTAAGGATCTAAATTTAGTCTTAGGTTTGGTGTGCATTTCATGGCTGTGAAGATGACTTGGGACATACCCTGGCCACAGTTGGCCATGGCTTCTGAGAGCCACTGAGCGCCCAATCCCTGTGCACAAAGCTCTGGGGAGCCCCACCACTTCCACTCTGCAAGGTAGGGCTAGGCCACCAGTTCATAGCCCCTTGACAGAGGGTCCCTACTCTGGCCTTGTCCCCAGACTCCAGCAGGCGAAGCAGCTTCCCAGGGCAGAGTCCTCTGCAAATGCAGGTCAGAATTTCCAGCTCTCCTGTCACTCCTCAACTGGATCACAGAATTCCAGGCTTACGCATGCTTAACCTCCTTCAAATCTAAGGTTCATTTCTAACCAGCAAAGTTTTTCCAACATAAAGCTTACCTATGCACAGCTTAATTTTTAAACTTAAATCATTGTGTATGAAACACTTAAGAAATGCTTTCCAATACTCAACTTTCCTTTGTCCTTAATTTTTTCGCCTCCTACCTTTAAATATTTTTTCATGTTTATCATGCATTTACTTGCATCATGAAATAAATTTGGCAGAGGTCTCAGGATGAAATGTTAAGATAAAAATGGAACAAACACTTATAAATTTAATAAGCAAATGGCCACACAATAATTCAACTATTTCCTTATTTTGCACATTAAGATTGTTTTCAGATTCTCAAATCACAATCCTGCTGCACAGTACATTGCTCAGCTTTGAGGCCTCTGAGACCCCACAGAGCAGAGTTTCTGCAACTGAAATCAATCAGTGTCCTACCCAGTCATGCCACCTCACCCCTCCCCATAACCAATTTCCCTTAACTCCCTGCCAATTCAAAGCAATAGAGAGAAGTCAGTGAGTTGAGACAGCCCCCGAGTCACATCCAAGCCACTGACAAGTTTAAAAAAAAAAAAAAAAAAAAAAGATGATCTTCCTTTGGCTCTGTGGAGAAAGGACCAAATAGAGCATTTTGTGGGTGGTGATTCCTGTACCTCTACCCCCAGTATGAGACACCCACATGGCAAGGAACCTTCTGGACATGTGCTCTTCTCCCCTCTCAGCAAGTGCTGACTTCTGCTGGGCAGCTGGTACAAACTGGACAGGACCCAGCCCGAAGCTCACACCATGTGACACCACTGGGCGCTACACTCACAGGACACAGGTGCTGGAGGAAGCACAGTGCACATCTGTCCACTAGCAGCCTCTTACAGGAAGGCCTCTGTCAGTCTGTGAACCCACATTTCTTGCAACTTCCCTTCAGCACCTGCATTCACGCACTTTCCATTTCCCACGGCACCCATGGTCAGGCTGGGTGGCAAGTAATGTCTTTGTGGGTGTCTCTTATCTAATGTTTAATCCATCTGGAGGTTCCTTATAACCAAGTACTGGAGGTATTTTTCTTAGGGAATGAGAGGACTTTTCAACTAAACAGAAGCACCATTTTTGTGCTTCACCTCAGTTGTGCCCTGTGCCTGCTCCTCAGCACATTTCACTCTGGACAGCCTTCAGTGCTGTGCCTGCCAGGGAACAGAATTCCTGGGAACTGTTTAGCTCAAAAGTATCAGAAAGATGGGTGGCTGGCAGATGGTGATGCAGGTCATCCTGACACAGAACACCCGTCAGAACAACAGGATACTCCAGGTACCACGCGCAGGGTTCAGCATCCTGGAGATCAGTGCTGAAGATGCCAACTAGTGAGGGTTATCAAGCTCATCCCGAATTCCTGAAAACTCATGGGGGGACTATAAGAAGCAGTGCCAGGAGAGACTGCAGACACTAGTTATTCAGAAGGGGAGGCAGACCAGTGAACATGTGTGTTAAGATGATGGTGACAGTCTTGGAGCTGGCACGTTCCACTGACCTGGTACAGTCTTTGAACAAGGCCCACGGGGAACCTAGGCCTCCTCAGGTATGAGAGCCCAGAAGGGGCTTGAGCTCTCTTTCAAAGCAATTCACCATGTTATCCACACGCTTCTCCACCCTTAGGGTATTTTCTTAGAAAATAACAATAGCCAGGCATGCTGCTCAGGAGACTGACTGCAAGTTCAAGGCCAGCCAGGCAACACAGTAAGATCCTGTCTCAAAATGGAAAATAAAAGGGCTGGGAATGTGTCTCAGTGGTTCCCACCGAGTCCACTCCCCAGTATGGAAAAACAATGACACCGATAAAATACAATCTAATAGGACAATCATCTCTAGTTACTCTCTAGAAATATCTGACACAATTATAAACTTACAGAGAAGCAAGAGTTAGTAAGTCCAATGATATTAAGAATAAGCTGTATGGGGAACCTGCTTGCCCTATTATTCCACAAACCCCTATTAGCCCAAGGGCAGGTGACATGCAACATGGGCCTCACCTTGTGTCCTGCAGACTTGGGGACAGCGCAATCATGATGGAGCAGTCCTTGGCAGTCATGGCGACTCGGTACTGCTGCACCTGTGGGGAGGGAAAGGTCAGCACCGGGTCACGCTCACAGCCACCAAACTACCCTTCACTGATCAGCCAGGTACAGGAACTGCTTCCTGTGACAGAAGCCGAGGATGAAGTTAGGAGTGTGGTCCACACAGAGCAGAGGTATTGAGGAGTCCCTGCTATGAGAACACAGGTCTGCCCAGCCTGCTGCCCCCCCCACATGGGCCCCGCTGCAACCTGAAACATGACTTGTCTTCAGCAAGGGAACTGCGGCTGGTCTTTGAAAGAAAAGCAGTAAGTCCTCCCCGCTCCCTGGCATTTTGGCGCCACAGAGCACTGAGCAGGCAGTGCACGCAGAACACTAGGAGCACGACATGCTAACTCTTCACCCTCCACAACTCTATGGGCACTGCGGGCGTCAACAGAGATGACAAAAGTGAGGCCCAAGAATGAATGGCAGGGCTGGGTCTGGGCTCAGCGGTAACCCACTTGCCTGGCATGTGTGAGGCACTGGATTTGTTCCTCAGCACCGCGTATAAATAAATAAAATAAAGGTCTATCAACAATTTAAAAAAAAAAAAAAAAGAATGGCAGGTGACACGAGAGATCAAAAGGACAGTCCACAAAACGTCCACAACTGTTCCCTCTGCAATGCACAGTTTGAGACTTTTTTTTTTTCCTCCTCCTCCTTTCGACTTTATGTCTCACTTGGAAGTTTTTAGTTTGGATAGCTCCCGCTTTAAAAACCACAAACTAAGCCAGTCACAGTGGCACCCGCCTGTAACCCCAGCAGCTCAGAGGCTGATGCAGGATGGCGAGTTCAAAGCCAGCCTCAGCAACAGTGAGGTGCTAAGCAACTCAGTGAGATCCAGTCTTTAAATCAAATACAAAATAGGGCTGGGGATGTGGCTCAGTAGTTGGTGTCAGGTTCAATCTCCAGGCCCCGCTCCACCAAAAAAATGAAAACCTAGTGATAAAAAGGAACTGGCCTTACAAGTCTTCACTGGCCTCAGTGCTGATGACAGTTCAGAACCCCTCGAACCTTGCTTCATGCAGCAGGAGGCTCTGCCCTGGCCAACCTCAAAGCTACCCCTCCCCCAGGCAGGTGTGGGGAGGACCAAAGAACAAAAGAGTGTGCTTCAGACCTGCTCCCTCCAGGTGAGGCCCTCGCCCCAGAGGGAACACCAACACCTGTTGACACCAAAACTCCAGTCCAAAAGATCTGAGCCAAATATAAAAAAAAAGGTACAAAACGTTTATCATGTCCTTAGTGCAGCTATAAGCCTTTCTAACCAAGATACAAATCCAAAATGCTACAAGATTCTCTAGACTTAAAAACTAAAGAGCTATTACGTGATATAGTCCTAATCCAAAGACCGTGGAAGATGGGGAGAAAACACATGCAGCATAAAACAGTATCAACACAGAATAACTAAAGTGCCAGAGCTCGATAGACCAAGAAAACTGCCCACAAGAGGCCCCAAAGTGATGAATATATAAATATATACGTACATATCTCCTATCAATACAGCCTTTCTTATATATATCTCATAGACCCTCTATATGTATGAAAATATGATTAATCTCACTACTAGTCAAAGTAACAATGAAAATCAAATTAATGTAACAATGAAATACTTTCTACTCTTCAGATGGGCAAAGCTGTGCCTCAGGCATGAAATGAAAGGACACATTTTCCCTGTGAGTGGGGCTGGAGCAGATAACTGGGTCCAACTCTTCTGCTGAGGCCAACTACAAAAGCTCAACAAACTATCAGAAACCTCAGATTGAAGCAGAGCTGAGGTGGCAGAGGGGACGAAGGCACTTGGGTCTGCTTTCCAGGGGAGGGCTTTCTAATTCTGGAGGGTTGTCTGAGAGACACTTTTCACTACCATCCAGGACCTTGGGGACAGTAACCACGATGAACCCCATCCTAGAGTTAATGTGCAAATAATGCTCCTTTAAGATGAAACTGGGGGCTGGGGTTGCGGCTCAGGGGTAAAGGGCTTGCCTCACATGCATGGGGCACTGGGTTCGATCTCCGCACCACATAAATAAATAAAACAAAGGTGTTGTGTCCATCTAAACTGAGCCAAAGTCGACAGGCCCTACTGGGAACTGAAGCTCGACTTCGAAGAGATCAATCATCAAAACTAGATTAAAACAACTCCAGCTTGCTAGAGCTTCTGAGGCCTCTTGGCAGAAGCAAACCTAAATTCACTCTGGAAAAACATGATCCAAGGCTTTAAATTATTTTTAAAATAATTGCAAATATAGTTTCTGGCACATAAGAAAAAAAATATGCAGGCACAATAAGACAGAACAACGCAAATGTAAACCAACAATAAACACACCAGGGGACGGGCAAATGAGAATCTCCACACTTTCCACTCAGTTTTGCTGAGAACTGAAAAATGCTCTTACAAAAAAAAAAAAAAAAGTAAACCTACAATAGTGGACTCCCACTCCAGGGACTTCAGCTGTGGCGCCAGACACACATGCTGCTGTGTTCAAAGGATACAGACAAAACAACTCAGAGGACAACTGGAAACTATAAAAATGAACCACTTAGAAACCCTAGAACAAAATTTCATATTAAAAATTCAACAAGTAGTTTTAACAGCATATTAGAAAAAACTGAAAAGGCTGACACAGTGGTTGATGGGAATAATTTCAACAACTGTTAACAATGAGCATTTCTCCTAACCAGCAATTTCCTTTTGAAAGTGGAGGATTACAGCTATGGTCACGCGGAAGGAACACTGTTCTTAAGGCCGCCCTCCACAGGTGGGGAAGGAGCCAACCCAGCACTTGGCACAGAGGAGCCCACTGACCACCGTGGCTTGAAGGATCTTCCACCTTTTCTTCCAAAGCAACGGCAATTCCCACATTATTCACTTTTTATAGTTAAAATGCTAACGTTACTGAGCAAGTAAAAACACTACCATAAAACCTAGCTACCCCCAAAGATATAAGCCGGACAAAGAAGGTAATCTGCAGGCAGGGAACAAAGCAGAGATGACAGATATCCAAACTAAGTAGATACCTTAAAAAGAAAGAAAATGCTAAAGAGAACTTCTAAACTGGAAGACAAATCAAAAGAAAATATCCGGAATGAAACGTGAAATGGAAAATATAGAGGAAAGGGTCTGACACACATACAGTTAGAATCCAAAGGAGAGAAAGTGGGCAAAAAAAAATCACAACAAAGGCCACAAGTTTTCCCCCAATGCAGACAGACATTAAATATATCTAAAAAAAAAAAAAAAAAAGCCCCCAAAAGGGGGAAAAAAAGCATTTATACTATCATTAAACACAATCAGAATCCATTAAAGGAAACATTAAAAGGTGTTCTTCAGACAAAAACTAAGTGACCCCGTGGAAGCTAAGATACAGGGCAGAGCAGAGGGCAGCACATGGGTGGATGAGCATGCCCGGAGAGCAGCAGCAACCCCGGCTCCTGGAGCAGACGCGGAGGCGCCGACACAAGCAGCAGCAGACACTCAGGAAGCCTGCACTGTCCACGAGGAGGGTGAAA